CTAGAAATGGATTAAACTAATTTTTCCTAAAATAGAACAGCTTTGCAAAATTTTTTATGTATTATTTGACAAACTGTGTATAACTTTTTGATTTGTACAATATGCACAATATGAAACCTCTTCTAATTAAAAAAAAATTTTCCCAGAAAGACCTACATTTTGGCATCAGTTCTTAAAGCAAATCATGAATTGGTAGCACTGACAATGTTGTTTAGGTTTTTTGTTCTTATCTGTATTTTCCATTTTTTAAGCAAGAAATACAAATCATTTCTAGATTTATGACTATAAACCCAGAAGCTTTTTTAAAGCATCCCCTGAGCCTACTGCCTTTGGATGTCTTTACTTTCATGGCATCATAGATTTCTGCATGTTTATCTTTGAATCTACCTTGAGAGACACAAGTCTAAACACATCTGAGAAAATAAATGATGCCCTCTGCAAGTCTTAATTTGCACATCCAGTGGAAATCCCTGCTGCGGCCTTTTCCTCCTACTCCATTTCTGCCCTGGGAGGCAGAGCCGTAAATCATGTCCACTAACGAGGCGGCACTTGGGGCCAGCAGCATCATGTGGCACTGCAGGGATGGCGGAGGGGCTGCTGCCCACTTCCTCACATGGGGGACCCTGATGATTCTTTCATGACTCTTTTCCTGACGAGACACCATTGCTTAAGATTTCTGAATGTTCTCAAGAGGTCAAGCCCTGCCCCTATAGCCTGTGTTACAAAATTTATCTCCATTTTGACAAAAATAAAGAGCTTCAAAGAGAAAGGCGAAATGAGAAAGGGTGAGGGGAAGAAAACAGAGAACTCTTTCTTGTACATACTGAAAATGGTTGACACATTTTCTACATGACTTTTTATCTCATTTGGCGAATAACAAATCTTCTAAAATTTAATGCCAAAGAGGTATGAAAACAGCCTACAGTCTGAAAAATGGGGTAAAAGCAGAAATCTTCCTGTGAATTGTAGGCACTAATAAGGCTGGATTAGCTGACACAGCCCACTAGGTAAGCAAGGGCCCTGGCATTACTGGGATCTAGGATGAAATGCCAGTTCTTCCATTACCAGCTGATGCCATGGGTAAGGGTAAGATAATATAATTTTTCTAAACCTACATTTCCTCTTACATAAAAAGATTATGCATACCAAGGACCAATCAATAAAAAGACTGGAAGTTTTGAAGTTGATTTAATAATGTGCTTATCTGGCTGACTCTCCTAGGGACCCTTTCCTACGAAGTCATGGTGACTGATACCATCAAAAGGCTTCACCAACTCAGCACAGGAGAGCAGTCCACAGAATAGTGGACTCCCAAGACCATTGCATGCGTGGAGACAGAGAACCGGGAAGTGGCCTGTGATAACTTCTGCAGATACATTTTAAGCTTAAGATGCCCATGATTGTGGGCAAGACGAAGTCCTGGACACACATGACCTACGGATGTGGAGCACAACAGAGGTGCCACCACAGGAAACCAGATGGGGGAGTCACTGTTCCCAACCCTGACTGTTTACCAGAATCAACTGTGTTTCTAATGTTTTGAGAGTTCTGATTTAATTGCTCTGGGGAAGGGCCTGGGAATCAATCTTTTATTTATTTTCATTTGACCAATGTTTCATTCAAATATTTTATTTTTTAAAATTCAATAAAATTTTCAAGTAATTTAATTCTTCCCTGCTTTTGTTTATTTTTAAGGCAAAGTTCACATAATATAAAATTAATCTTTAAAAGTTAGGCATTTGGTGTCATCACAACACTGCACAGCCACCTGCTGCATCCAGATCCACACCATTTCAGCAACCTCAAAAGGAACTCTCCACCCATTAAGCAATCGTGCCTCATTCCCATCCCCTGCCCTCTGCCTCTATGGATTTGTCTGCTGTCAATATTCCCTAAGAATCAACCATACAAGAAGTAGCCCCCTTTTTTGTGACTCGTTTCTTTCACTAAGTAGGCTTCCTTCATTTATCAATATTGTAATAAATAGCTCTATTTCATGTATTTTTATGACTGCATATTATTCCATGCTATGAGTATGCCACATTTAATTTATCCATTTATGAACTGATGAACATTGGGTTTTTTTTCTACTAGTTGCTTTCATATACATGCTCAAATATTATACCAAATACCTGTTTTTAACTTTTTGGGAACATACTTAGGAATGGAATTAATTGGTCGCATGGTGTCTAATATTTAACTTTTTGGGAGAAGAAGATTTTGCGAAGTTTTCCAAAGGATTTTATGTCAAGATGATATTAAAAATCACTAATAGGTAAGAGGGACAAGGCTACAAGAACAGATGGAAAACTATAGTGGGATTATGATAGGGTCAGAAGTAAAATTTTGTAAAAACAACATACTGGAAGCTGTCAAAGTCTGTAAAGAACATGGTTATATAGAAATGTCCACCAAGAGAATCCTTCAAGGGAGGGGCTGCCAATAGTAAATATTAGAAAGAACTAGAAATCAAAAAAGGATGCAAAAAAAAAGTCTACTGCATATGGCAAAAAGAGAGGTCAGGTGTGCTGCCCTCACTGAGGACCTCAGCCCTAGGACGTACACAAAATGCCAAGAAGAACAATGCTACAGACATCCTTATTCGTCATTTACTCTTATGGGCAAAGGTCAGGTCTTTTCCCTTCAGTTTCTCATGGCACCTAAGAATGTACAATGCAAACATCAAGTGCATAATCAAAATCTTCATTTGACCACTTAACACCTGAAGAATTACTACATCAAAATCCCTGCCACTTACGGAAGTAAACTACAGGAAAGTACTAACTCGTAACTACTTTACTGACTATTTTATAATCTTTCTATGATTTTATTTTTGGTATCAGAAATACAACTCAGGAACTTACCCTTGCCAGGCAGGCCCTGTGCCACTGAGTTATATCCCCAGCCCTTTTTGTATGATTTTAGACACATGGAAAATATCTGAGTATATAATGTATGATTAGAAAAACTGTTTGATCCTAACTTCAGCCAAACACTTAATAAACTCTTACATTGTCCCCCTTTTTGCTGCCTAAAATCCTGCTTTAATTTAAAGATATTTATCTATCGTTATATAATATTCACCAATTTCTGAATCAATATATTGATAAGAAAATGTATAATCACTTCACAGCAATTTAAAGTATTTTTTCCTTCTGTTATTCGAGGAAGGGGAAATTCTTACAATTCCTACATTTTAAGTATGAAAAGTGATAAGGTTAATCTTATGTCTGAAGCCACATCCTAAGCTTAGCTTAAGTTTAAATACTCAGTGAAGGGGCTGGGGAGATGGCTCAGTAGAATAAGTGTTTGCCTGGCAAGTGCAAAGGTCTGAGTTCAAATCCCTGGTTCTGAAAAAAAAAAAAAAAAAAAAAAAAAAAAAAAGATTAAATACTCAGTGAGCAGTAAGTACATACCCATGGTAGGAGTGCTTTTTTTAAAAAAAAACAACTACATGTTGATTTTTTTTTCCATCTTAAGTGTGAAATCAACCAAGAAACATTCCTGAGAATAGATTCACTTTTTCAATTGCTGCTTCTATTTTGTAGACGGTCACAGTGTTTAATTTGAAATTTCCTCTTTCTTTGCCAATTGCAGTTTGAACTCCTATTTGCAGTGATTTTAAGCACAGCCTTGTATGATACACAAAAAACACTGAGAAAGCAGCCAGAACAAGAAGGAGAAAAAGATGTTTTCCTTTAGTATCAAACCTGGCAAGAAAAGAACATGTTCCCATAAAGCCTTAAGGCATTCCTGGCTTTCCCTTGAGAATCCAAACTGATGCATTTTTGATTCCCCTTTGAAAAGCTTTATAGGTTCACCTTGAACTACAGTTCACCAGACTCCCCTAAGTTCTTTTTAAAATTTTTATTTATTATTTATTTATTTGGTACAGGGTCTTGCTATACAATTCAGACACTTAGTGATCCTCCTGTCTCAGCTTCCCCAGTGCTGGGGTTGTAGGCATGTGTCACCACGCCTAGTTTCAGGGCCGGCATGGCGTGCCTGGTGCCATCACCGCGTGTGGTACTAAGGAATCGAACTGCAGACCTCCTGCTTGCCAGGCAGGCACTTAGACCGCTATCTCCCCAGTCCCAGAAGTTCTTCTTGTTTCTGGTGCTGTTGTTTATTTCTGTCTCCAACAAGGAGGGAAGTTCCTTGAGCAACTGGGCGGTTGGTAGGGAGGAGTGACTACTGATGATGACTGGTAGCCCTGAGGCACGACAGACAATCTTCAGTGTTGGGGAATTCACAGAAATCAAGTTCATAGCCATTCAGAAACTTCATATCATAGACACCGCTCAGGGAAACGTGCAAAGAAAACAAGGATTTCCCTGCCTCCCACGCTTTCGTCTTCCTTGCCATGTGTGTGTTCTTGGCCTTTTGGGGCCACTCATCTTTTCAGGAATGGATTTTCTTTATAATTCTGTCTGACTTTCAAATCGGTATCAGAACTGGGCCCAGTAGTCAATACAACATAACAATGTCCTATTAAAAGCCTCTCAGACTCGATAAAGAATGAACAAAGACTTCTTATTGGAACCTGACACAAAAACTGGTCCCCAATCAAAGCTCCTCCTTAATGAAAAAGAAATGCCCAGAAGCATGAGGAAGGAGGCATCAGAGCCTCCAGGTTGGGTTTCAGAAGTCAAGCTCAGCTGCCCAGGGCAATGGTCACATGTGTAAGACCCTGGTATCCTCTCATTTTAGCTTGAGGCAGAGTGTTTTCAATCTACTCCCCTTTGTGAACACTACAGGAAGTCCTGGCTCCATTTTCTTTTGTCTCTCAGAAGACAAAAAACAAAACCATGATGTAAAAGCCATAAAGTGTCTTTCAGAAAATCCGTGAAGAGCCAGCCTACCCCCCAAAAAAAGTTCCTATTTTTTCTTAGTGCTTCTTTTTAAAATCCCAAACTCAAAGCCAAGAGTTCCCAAGCACCCATCTCTTACAGAAGCACAGGACACAGGCATGTCAGCACAGACAACCGGCACCTTCCCACCTGCAGCAGATGACGGCTTTACAGGACAGTGCCAGGTCCAGGAAACTTCTGCGGACCTCAAAGGACAGCGCGTACTTCAGGGTGTGACCATCTATGATGAGAGCCACGTCATTTTCCTTGCCTAGCAGGTTCCCAAGGTCTGTGCAGTGCTGGGTGATGGCTGCCCGAGTTGCCTGAAACAAGAGCAGAGGGGGGAGAATAACTGGGTGGTTTTGTGGCTTACTACAGCAAAAGCAGAGCCAAACCCCGAGGAGTTGCTGGAAATGAAAATACACCCATTTTCAGGTAAAATTTCAGGCAGAGTTAAATTCAGTGCACTCATGCCTTACTTGTCACTGGATTGTCACCACTGTTTTATGGGTAAAAACATCCTCCAGTGAGATCCCCTTGCCATGCACAGTGGTCATCTCCAGTGGAGGTCCATGGCTGGGGTCTGTGCTGACCTAGGGCACTGCTCAGTCACCATCCTCAACAAGAAACTTTGAAATCACACAAAGGTACAGGTAGAAGGATGTGGCCCAGAGCCCTGTGCTGTGGCCAGCCGACCTGAGGTCTAACCCTTGCTTTCCACTTATCATCCATGACCTTGTGCAAAATGCTTAGCCTCTTCAAAATAGTTTTTGAAGTGCAAGTTTTCTTATGTAAATGGAGCTAGAAACACTTCATAGCATTTTTGTTATGAACAAATGAACTAACCAGTGTCACATGCTTAGGCTTGGGTCTTGCACACAATAAACACTCAATATAATTAATTCTTTTCCTTCGCTATTTTTCATTAAGAATTGCCTATATTAAATGGAGGTGGTGACACATGCCTGTTAGCTCAGCAATGTGAGAGGCTGAGGCAGAAAGATAACAAGTTTGAGCCTAGTTTGGGAAATTAAATGATTTAGCAAGACCCAGTCTTGTAAAAAAAAAAAAAAACAAGTCTGGGACTGCAGTGACAAGGTCAATGGTTTAGCAGCATAGTACAAAAGAAAGGAAGGATAGAGGGAAGGAAAGAAGAAAGGAAGGAAGGAAGGAAGGAAGGAAGGAAGGAAGGAAGGAAGGAAGGAAGGAAGGGAAGGAGGGAGGGAGGGAGAGAGGGAGGAGGGAAGGAAGGAAGGGAGGGAGGGCGAGGGAAGAGGAAAGGAAAGAAGGAAGGAAGGAAGGAAGGAAGGAAGGAAGGAAGGAAGGAAGGAAGGAAAAAGGAGGAGGGATGTAGGGAAAAAAGAAGGGAAGGAAGGAGGAAGGGAGGAAAAGAGGGAGGAAAGCAGGATTTCCTATATTAAAGAAATCAAGAGCAAAAAAAAAAAAAGAACCTATAGCATAAGAAAAAAAAACTTTAGCTATTTGTTATTAGACAAAGGACTAATATCTAGAACATAAAAAGAATTTTTAAAAATTAGACCCCCCCCAAACGTAAAGACCAGTCCAAAAATGAGCATCTGAAATTAATAGATACTTCTCAGAAGAAACATAAACAGCTAATACAAGAAAAAATGTTCCATATCACTGATCATTCAAGAGATGCAAATTAAACGAAAGCTGATATTTCATCTCACTACAAAAAGAATGGCTATCATTAGGAAATCAACTGATAATCAATGCCGGTGGGGCTATGGGAAAAAATAACCCTTCTCCACTGTTGGTGGGAGTGTAGACTGGTACACCCACTGTGGAAATAAGTGCAGAGATTCCTCAAAACACTATGAGTAGAGGTTCCATTTGACCCAGATATTCCTCCTCTTGCTATCTTCCCAAAAGAATTAAAAGCATCATACCATAGTGATATATGTACACTCATATTTATAGAAGCACAGTTTATAACATCAAAATCTTAGAAATATACCAAATACCCATCAGCTGAGGAATGGATAAACAAAGATGTCTCTTTACACAGTGCAGTAATACTTGGCCAAAAACAAGGATAAGTTTGACACATTTATAGCTAAATGGATGGACTTTCAGACCGTACTCTGAAGTGAAATAATTGCACATGTATTTACGCACCACATTGTCTCTGGTGTGAGAAACTTAAAGTGAAAACAAGAACCAAAATGTGTAATAGATGTTGTGAAAAGGAAGTAATTATTCCACGGGAAGGGGTGTTGGGGGGGTGGAAGGGAAAAGAAAAGATGAGAAAACAAATGACAAAATGGAAACAAAGCTTTATAAATAAAGACAGATGAGGAGCTGGAGAGAAGAGAAGGGAATGAGGGGGGAAAGTAATTAAGATACATCATGTTCAGGTACAAGCTCCAGGTACAATGAATGTGATCAATATGCATATCTACATTGTACAAGTAAATGTAATTATTAAAATATATAGAAAATATGCATAGATTCTACTTCTACATCACAGTATGAATGTCATCATTCTCTGTAGACATAATAATAGATTAATAATTAATGGAACAATGTAACAATGAGTAAGTTACACTGGCTTTTACTAAACATGAAGACAAGTCTATAGATCTTATTGTTACTTGTGTAGTTATAGGTATCAAACAAACATCCTAAAAACATCTATGGAAAAACTCCTGTCTTTTAAAATTTGGAGACAAGAAATTCCTCCCACTTAGAGAAATCCTACCTTGACAGTGGGTTATTGTCTAAGTCGGAACTCAGACAGGTTTTGACAACTATGCTAGGGGTCAATGAGTTGAGGACAGAAATATCTCCTGAGAAATACGTCTCTCGGGGGTGGAGCTGGGGATGCAGACTTGATCCAGACTGCCCTGCTGAGGTGGCAGCACTCAGGTCTGGCCCAGAGCTTTTCAATCCTGTTTACTTCCCCCATGAACATAAGCCGGATCCAAAGGGGAAAACACCAAGGAGTGAAAGTCCCTGAGATGAAGACCAAGCCTGTGCTTCTCTGTGGCTGCTGTTATAGTTTCTAAAGCATGCATAGCGCAAGTGAAGAGCCATAAAATCATATCAGAAAGGTCACCTTCTCTACCGGCGAAAGTTCAGTAGCATGCATGAGCATAGTCTGTTTTCTGGAGACCCATGAGCATCAAAAATGAGGTGCTGTGGTTTTAAAGTGTCCCTAAATTTACTGTGTTGGAACCATCATCACTAATATAGCATGACTGAGAGTTGGGTCCCAGGAAGGGGGATTAAGTCACTGGGGGTTCTACCCTCATGGATGATGTCTTTATCTCCAGAGTAGGTGTGAGACAAAGCTGGGGCCATGCTTTCCTGCGTGGTGAGCTGGCTCTCTCCCTCTCACCCTACTCTTCTTCCATGGGAGGACACAACACCAAGTCCCTCTCCAGATGCATTCCTCATCTTGAACATCCCAGCCTCCAGAAATGTGAGGCCAGTGAGCTCCTATTGTTTATAAATTATCTAGTTTGTGGTGCTCTGCTATAGTAGCACAAGACCAATAAAGAGGAGAAAACTGAAAAAGCTATGTTCCTGAGATGTGCAATTCCCCCTGTCCCCTCCACTCCACAAATGTAGGGAGGAACTCAAAAGGCAGCTGGATTTTTAATCAGAGATGGTGAATGGACACAGGGAAGCATTTTTGGCCGCTCTTCCTGAGAGGCTTTACTCTCTCACAGCCTCACATAGGCTGGGAAACACGGGTCCAACCAAGTTGTGCTTTCAAGTTGACCCAGAAAATGTGCTACATGAGCCACCTCTCCCTTCTTATGCAGAAACCCTAACCCCCAATGGATTGGTATTAGAACATGTGTTCTTTGGGAGGTGTTTAGATTATAAGGATGGTGCCCTCATGGTGGGATGAGTGCCCTCACAAGAGATAGGGAAGTGTCCTTTCTCCTCTGCTTATCTCTCTCCCCCACCATGAGAGGACACAACAAGGAGACAGCCACCCACAAATGATCACACATTGATCTTGATGTCCAACCCTCAAAGCTGTGGAGAACACATTGCTGTTGCTGCAGCCACAGAGTCTCTGGTATTTTGCTGTAACAACTGGAGCAAAGGAAAAAGGTAGTGAACCACCTCAGTCCCTCGCAATGCAGTACTATTCTTGTCATCACAGACACTTAGACTACAGGACATGGTTTGGGTCTCCAGAAAACATAAAGTCAAGTGAAGGGAATGCTTGCTATCATGGTCAGTGTCTGGAATAAACTTCTAGCATTGATACAGTAACTCCTGTTACAGGTGCACACACAGAACACAATAGAAATATAGGGGAAGACAGCTGTTCTCATCTGATTTGTGCTACTGTAATTTATAATAGAAATTTTTGGCATTGTTCTAGAGGCTGGGGACTCCAAGATTAAGGGACAAGCATCTGGTGGGGGCCTCCTTGCAGCATCACCTGACTATAGCAGGGAAAAGGAGAGAAAGAGGAAACAAGAGAACAAACATGAAGTTACTTCAAGTTAATCTATAACTGGCATTCACCTATTGACGAGGATGGTGTCTTCAGGACCTAGTATCTGCTCATGAGGCCCCACTACCAGCATTAGGGATTCGGATTCTAACACATAAACTTTGGGGACACACCCAGACCACAGCAGTCCCTCAGGGCACTGGTACACAGTGGCAAGAGGCAGGACAAGGCCTCAGGAGCTGGGTGCATGAAGGAGTGTTTCTCTGACCATGTGAACTGCAATCTGCATGCATAGCAGCCTTCTGCTCCCTTACCATGAAAAAGCCCAACATTACTAAGTTACACCATAACAATAAAAATATTCACGTCTATATTCTGTTGACCAGAGATTTTTCTCACAGTATGGAACATTAATAGTTTTCTTAAGCAAAAAATTAAGCAGTCACATGTTAGTTCAATTAAGTACTTACCTCAGCCCCACTTATTTTAACCAGCCAACCAAGATACAGTTATTGCAGTAAGCTCACTCCAATGGTAATAAAATATCAAGCATATGTATTTCATGTAGTCTACTCTCATAAATCTTGCAATACATTCAAAGTGACAAATACACAAAATTAAGGATGAAATAAGGCAAACCTAATATCCTCCTATGAGCAGATTCTATACATCACCACAGTTATAGCCCAGCCTGCTTTAGCTCATTTTCATGGTTGGCTGGAACTGCACTAAGTTGTAAATCTGATGATGGTGGAGACTCCCTTTGCCAACCTCTGTTCATGCTAACCCACTGCAGGTGCTCAATAAATGTGTTGGGCTCACATGCGAAGTGATCTAAGTCTTGGTTCTAAACAGTTCCTTACAATATCTAGGAGAGAT